TAGATGCATTAGTAGATTTTTCGCGTTTTCTCCCAGTAAATTGTTCGTATGTGAATCAAATATGTGAATCGAATGTGAAATGTTGAAGTGACACGTTGTGTAAAAAAAAGAATTAACTAAATAATAATCTGATCTGTGTCAATCAGTGATAACGTCTACATTAAAACTAACGAAAATTTATTAAAATAAACGTTTATTTGGAGCTGTACGTGGTCCATTGAAATGGAAATTCCGTCTTTCTCACGAAGCTACATCACGAGTCATCGAATCTTTACAAGGTAATTTGTGTTTGTGTGTGTGTGTGTGTGCGTGTGCGTGTGCGTGTGCGTGTGCGTGTGCGTGTGCGTGTGCGTGCGTGCGTGCGTGCGTGCGTGCGTGCGTGCGTGCGTGCGTGCGTCCGTGTGTGTGTGTGTGTGTGTGCGTGAGCGTGTACGTGAGCGTGTGTGCAAGAGAGAATGTAACCTCATGTCCTTAAAATGTCATGTGTATGCGCGCGTGTATCAGTCAGCTGATCGTCGCGAAAGCCCCGCGTACCGCCTGCGTCAGACAGTAAGTTGCGCCGCCCCTGTCTACTATCTATACGCGGTCCGTAATTCGCTAATTATTTCTCGTTATAATTTGAAAACAAAGCTTCGGATAAAATTTTGGTAAAGGAAGAATCGTCTCAGAATTCAGTCAGGAATATGACATTTTAAGGACAAAAGTTTATTTTGGGACACCCTGTATGATTGCTGTTTATTATTATAGCATAATCAGAATTTTATAAATTTCTTATTTATTCTTACCTTGCGAGATGTAATAATATAATTGAGTTGAATTTTACATAAAAATACTTAAATCGGCATTAGCTGCACATTTCGGGCCGATACCTGAGGCGATTCCCTACTACCACTCAAAACTCGGCGAGCGCTCGCCTGGGTGGCTTGGCCGCCGAGTTTCGAACGGTAGTGGGGGGTCGCCTCAGGAATCGGCCCAAAATGTGCATCTAACGCCAAGCATCTAACGGAAAGAGTATTACAGATAAGCTTACATAATAATGTAATAATATAATTTATAACGTTGTGGCGGTACAATTACGGCACGCGCGTCTGGCCGCGCGCCGGGCCCGCGCGCCCGCCACGTGACGAGAGTATTACGCAGCGCCACCGCTAGGTGCCGCAGGCGCCACTACAATTCTCGTAATTAAGATTCACCCACGCCCGCTATATCTAGGGCTCCGTGGATGGTCTCAAGCACGTTCTTCTGCTCTCAGAGTGGTGTGAGCTTCTTAGACCGCCACTCTGAGAGTATTTTGGGGTAACAGCAACAAGCGACAGAGCAAGCTCGGTCCCTTGTAATCGAGAGGAAGCGGAAGTCCCGGCCTCTCGATTCAAGGCACACACCAGGCCTCTGTTCAGCTCCGTTCCGAGTACGCCCAACCGGGCCGTTTTCGCCGAGTCTGCAAGGAGAAGCCTCGCCACCACGCCGCGGGCATGAAAAAGGGGGCCACCTTGTCCCCTCGAGGTGAGCAGCCATCCGCCACCGCAGGAAGCCCCAGCGACCGAGGAGATTTCCGAACGCCGACTCGACCCAGGAGTGGCCTACCTCCCGTGGCGTCTGACGCCCGTCGATTTCGCCAGGCCCGAACAGCGACCCACGGAACCTTGGCCCCGGCCAACGGTCAGCCGAGGAACCCAGACCGAGGAGAGCACCTCATCGCTGAGTCCGCCGGTCAGGACGCCGACGAAACCGCTAACGCCAGGACGAGCGAAGCAGCGCAGCCCAACGAAGCCGCTGACTCCCGGGCGTCCGAAGGGTCCTTCCATCCGGACCTTCCGCATGCCGAGTCACCAGCCAGCGACGCCGTCAAGGCACTCGCGACCATCCGGTTCCCCGGGACGCTTCGCGGACCTTCTTCGGCGGCTGGCACAAGCGTCTCCTGACCGCACCCGATTGAGATCGGTGATCTCAATCCCACTGAGACCGATCCCGCGGTTCCAACGCAGGCCCTTCGTGCAGGACCGGACGAAGGCCCTCTTTAGCGCGTTGGAAACGGAAGACCTTCGTCGTCACCGGCGCTAAACTCCTTCGCACCTTTCGGCGCGGCACCTTTGTGTGCCACCTGACTTACTTCCTACCTTTCCTGGAAGTCAAGCTTCCTTTACAAGCCTTACACTGACATTTCCTACCCTTGTAAATATAATCCTAAAATATATCTAAGCTGTTACTTATAACCGGAGTCGTTTGTGGATTCCATTGCGCTCCTTCTCCTGATCAATCATTACCACTTACGTCCACAAAGTGGTGACCCCGACGTGATCAGGCAGGATGCAATCGCGCCAACATCGAAGATTTCCGTCTCGCCAACGCAAGAAGTTCTCTCCGCAACTACGCAGAAGATCTCCACCGCGACTACACAGAAGACCTCCGCCGCGACATCGCAGAAGATTTCCGTCGCGCAGAAGATTTTCGTAGTGACCGTGAAGAAGATTTCCGTCGCGTCAACGCACAAGATTTCCGACGAACGGCTGA